GTTTACGGGCCTCCAGTCTATGAACAAGTGCAATGACCGCCCTCCCCAAACCCCTATTCAGTGCTGAGACTCCGTTTGGCCAAATCAACTAGTCAGTAAGGGAACGCGCAGATGAAAGAATTTTTCAGTGTCCGTGAGCTAGGTGGTCGAGCAATCGTCAAGCCAACATCCAGCGTAGGTGATTAAATTGCGATAGGCCACGATCCGCATGCCAGCCATCGAGCCACTAGCATACAAGAGGGCAATAAGCTTCACTGATGAACGTTCACCCGACTGCTAACGGAACTCATCTATCCCGCTCTGCCTAGGGTCTCGACAGAGGCCCTGACAGCCGTAATAGTTGGGAGTGTAGGCAGACAGTATTGCCGGCACGGCTACGGCTGTCAGGGCCTCTGTCGAGACCCTAGGCAGAGCGGGACAGATGAGTTCCGTTAGCAGTTGGGTGAGCGTTCATCAATGAGTGTCAACATCCCTCAACCTAACCCCGCAAGACGACGAGCTTGTGGCTCAATGGTTAGGGCGTTTGACTCTGATCGAAGAGGTCACGAGTTCGAGGGTCAGTGGGACGCCACTTGGGTCTTGGTATGGCTGGTTGACGACGGCTAATAAGCCAGAAATGGCCATTCCAGTCTCCTCATCTTTGCCGGCAATAATATCTGCCTATACTACCAGGGCAATCATCCTCGATAAAGGGAGAGACGTTTCTTGGCATAGGTATTCAGTAGCATGGCGATTGCATCCTATAAATACTGTAAAGCCCTCTGTACGGATTACCCATTTTTGATGCTCTCTGATTATGGGTACGAAGGACGATCCAAAACGTCAAGCGAATAAATTTCTTATACCAGCGATCGTGTCTACGTCTTAGCAATTATTTTCTGGGACTTTAATCTCTGTGTGCATCAATAAAATTAATATTATCGACTACCAAACACGGCTTCCCCCGCCGTACTGCAAACTCTTGGAACAGGCTGACTAGAGGATTCAATGGGGAGTGGTTAACTTCGATTCAAACACCAAAGGGGACACCCTCTCACTACGCTACCGTTCCACGCAACCATTGGCCGACGAGGCGCTGATTAGTCGTATTGGGTGTCCGAACGACTATGATCAGTGCGCTCTGGTTGGATTCGATGGGAAACAATAGAGCCGAAAAGGACACTTTCCTGCTCAGAAGCAGCAAATCACATAATAAGCAGCGTTTAGAGAAGAAGTAAACGCGGTCACTGAGACAAGAATTTTACTAGTCTGATGCTTCGGATTTTCTCTCGAACCCATCATTAGAAACAGGGTTTATTTGGATCGGAATTACCTATATGTTCCACCCCCCAGCC